CACTTAATCGAGAAGCAAAAGACAAAAGAAGAGTAGTCACTACCAAAGACCATCCCTGTAGGGCCAGAAGGAAGTGAATAAGAGCCAAACAAGTGGCTAGGATCCCACAGGGAAGGAAATAAGAAAAGACTCCAAGATAAACCACCAACGCAAAACTTCCCAAGCATCCAGAAAGTAACCTAAACTCAAAAGAGGAGTACGTGTATAAGGAGACATTAAGTACTCGAAGGAGAAACACCCAAAAGGTGTTGATACAATCCAGCCAGCCAGCCAGGCTAAGTCAGTCAGGAAGAAGGATGAAAAGATCCTCCACTGGACCAACAAACCCTTGGAAGAAACACAAGGGAGCCTGAACAATAGGGATGAGGCTTTCCAAGAAGCTCATGTCACCAAACGAGATAGAACCATATGCAAAATGGAAGAAGTAAAGGAGGAGAAGCTGCAAACCAGAAACAGCCTAGCTAAACCAACAAGAGAGAAGACTGGGCCTAACAGAGTAGAAAATGAAACAACTCCCCAAGAGGAATGAAGTATTGTGTGAGGGTGAAGAAAAAACATTTCCACCTTCAACAACCAACCAACCTGAGCCTCTACTCCCAGAAAAATGAGTAAGAAAGGCATGATCTGCTTGTGAAGAAGCCAGACATCCATGCCAAGGTGGAAAAGATGGCCCCTGGAAAAGAACAAGATGAGCAGAAAACCCAGACTCTCTAAATTGGAAGGAGCCATGCAGTTCAGACTGAAAACACAATCCCAATGGACCCAAAGAAGAAAGTTCATATGCAGGAGAAAGTTAATGAGGAGGAATGCATCAGACACAACACCCTCATCCTCAACAAACCAGGAGGAAAAAACCCAACAAATGGCCAAATACAACCCCATGGCAAAATGTAGAAGGACTAATAAATGGTTCAGAACTGACCGAGTGATGATAAAGCTCCAGTCCCTGAACTTCAAGGGGACAACAAACATATGGGAATAAGTAACAAAATACAGGGATTTCCCTGTACAATGGCATCCAGGCAAAGTAAATCCCAAACCACCATTTAAAAACTCAGGCATGAAACAGAAACCTGAGTAGGGAAATTCAAAAAAGGACCAGACTAAATGTTATCACCTTAAAACCCAAGGATCTGTGAGAATTATTTGAAACCATTATTGTACCCTGGCTGAAAGAGTAAAAATATGTGTATAT